TTAAAATATTTTACAAATGCAGAATCATAGCTACTTTAGACTCCAGTTATCTTTGGTTGATTATATATCACTGATTTTTGAGATTTGCTTTTTTTTTTTTATCTTGTCCACAGAACCAGCAGAATAATCTCAAGCCTGACTTTGAACTAATATGTTTAAAACAAACTGTGGCTAAAGCACATAACCTGTGATTTATGCCTCAAAAGATTTTGAGTGTAGACTATATTGTTGATTACAAGTACGTTTTCAGTAGATCTCTCATCTTACTTTACTGAAACATTATGCCCATTAATTAATAACTTGCCCATTTTGCCCAGATCCCTGAATTCATACTTTAAATAATGCATTCATAACCTTGCCTTTATGTACTAATGTAGGACACCTACCTTCATTATTTTAGTTGCTGGATCAATGTTGACTTAGATATTAGTGAGATAACGTATGAAAGTACTAAGAATCTGACAGGCCATAGATAGGTGTCCTTTAATATTAACAAACTTCTAGTCAATAAAATATAGTGTGTTTGGCACTATGAAAACTATGAAGATGAATTAAAAACAATTTATCTTTAGAGAGTTCTCACTCTAGGAGAATGATACATGCATATTAAAAAAGGCTTAAAATAGAAAACTATTAGGAAGAACACAAAAACTTTTGACTTTTGACTGTGTAACTACAACTTATTATTTTCCTAATTATAGTCTATGGGAACTTTCCTTCTCTGGCTGTGTCAACAATGATCACATCCTCAATACAGATAGACTGGTCCAGCAAATATTCTCTTTGTTTCCAGAAAAAAAATTGAACATTGTCCAGTTTGGATCAGATGCGCTTGACTTTCTAGAATCAGAGAGCTTATGTGGGAACTGAGGTTATAACAGCTATCTTTGGAAAAGTTCATGATTACATACATTCAGATGTAGAAAATCTAGTTTACATACTTTAAGAGCTTTTTTTAAAAAAAAAAAATTGACCAAGAGAGGTTAACTCTAAAGAATCAATGTTTTCTCTTTTTTAGAAATAGATTTTAGCACTTCTACCTCACCAAGCTCAACATTTTAAATCATTTCTACATTTTATCATCAAGAAAAAAAAAAAAACAGTATTGGAAGGTAGAAAGTTGACTTCATTGGCCTTCTCTTTGTCTACCCCAGGGGAGCTGCTTGGTGAGCTCTATGGTATTTACGTGATGAAAATCTCATTCAAGCTGAATATGCTATCATTTTGACATCTACATTTTTACTTTTTAAATTCCATGCCAATTGCATGGACATCTGGGTATGTATGGGATATATTTGACTTATTTTATACACGCTTTTGCAGAATTAATTTTCCTTGCGTTGGCTCTGAGTACAATAGGGCATTGTGATTTCCAACAAAGAGAATTATTTTTTAGGGCATTTGTCTAGAGTTAAAGTCATTTAATCACAATAGAAAATCTCTTTTTAGATTTTTATTTAAATAGTCTGACGTTGATGAATGGCAGTATGTGGGAAAAATGTAGGAGAAACTTGCAGTGTTTTCATACTGGATGCCAACATCATAGAGTATATTTTAATTAATTTTTCTGTACTTTCTACTGTTCTTTAAATGATACATCGGCCTATTCTTCTTCCATTATTTTAATTTTGGTGTAGCTGTCCTCTAAGGGTTTGATCTGTGGAATTAGGGAATTCTATTACAAAACTTAATAAAAACCAAACCAAACTTACAGTCTTGAGGAATAAGTTTCCCATGTTATTTCTTTTCAATGAATTGTTCAAAATAAAATTTCTATCTATGTCCAGAAAAAGGAGATTTAAAACCTCTTGTTTCTGCTTGTTAAAAAATTGAGTGAAATAAATGACATAAAATAAGTTGTGGTCAGATTTCTGAATTCACATGAAAAATAAATATCAAAAGTAACTATCTAGGACCACAATAAAATAAAAGTGGTCCATGACATTGTCTGGATACATCCATGAACAATATATTATTACGAGATGACCAGCTGAAACTCTAGTTTTGATAATAAGATTCTTCTGCAGTTACTGATGTATGAATTTGGTGACTAGAGCTAGGGATTCTGAGAAACTGGTTGACTAATGAAAAAAAAAATTGTTTTTCTTCTTTCTAGCTTTGCACTTCAAAGTCAACTACCTTGAACTTTGTAGACTACAAGATAACATCTGATTCCTTCTTCCTACAGTGCAGTTGATTAAACTTCATGCTAATTAACATATCCCATAAAAATGTCCTGTCTCTAGAACACTCTCAGTTCAATTCAATTCTATAAATTCCTGCTCTGTCAATACTTATCTTTGTTAACTGTAGTGGCATGGCTCTCTTTTGTTAGCTTCAGAGATTTTTTTTTCCACTTTTAAAAAAGAATCAACAATCTTCTTTCCAAAAATTACAGACCTAGCATAAAAACATAGTAAATGTTATCTTTCACATGGAAAGAAGATAAGTTCAAAATGTACCTTTTCTACCTCCACTCAAATTTATTTCTCTTGTTGAAAAACTCAGGAAAACATTATTTATGATGCATTTCAAGTTTTACTTGGCTCTGTGTCTTTGTTCAAGAACATATTATGGACTACTGATTTTGAAATAAATAGACAACTCAGATTACTCATGCTTTCTTAGAAAAAAACAGTTACACTGAAAAATCTAGTAGTATAAATATATAACGGTTACTTGTCCTCTTCAACCTCGTATCCTCTCATTCTTTTGCTTTTGAATTTTAAGTCACATGATTTCCTTTCAAATTGTCATACTCAGTTGTCTTTACACTCATGCATACTGCTGTGGGACCTTTCCATCTACTCTTCTCTTTTTCTGGATCCTCATGTCCCAGTGTGTGAATAGATGATTTTCATGTTATTCAGAGTTGGGCTAAAATGCAATCTCCTTACTGTCTACACCCTTCCCACTCTCCAGTGGGAAGTTTCTTCCTAGCATCCAGTACTCTCTAGAGTATGTTTTGTTTCTTCCTGGCATCCAGTACTCTCTAGAACTATAATGTTTAGTATGATATCTACTAGCCATATATAACTAAGTTCAAATTTATTAAAACCAAATGAAATTAAAAATAGCCATATTTCAAGTGCTCAAGAGTCACATGTAGCTAGAGGCCAGTATATTGTATTGCATAGATCTAAAATTATTATGTTCAATTATTCTTGTAAGCCTTTATTTTTTTTTATGTCCTTTCTATGTACTTTTCCTGCCTCTTTTTTATCCTTCTTAACTGAATATAAACCTCAAGGAAACTGAGATCTTGTTTATTTCCTTCATTGCTGTGTCTGCAGGTCACAAGCAAATTATTTATTGAGCAGTTACTTATTGTTCAACAAATAATTTAATAAGTGTATATTGAAGATCAGAAAGAATGGCTTTCAAGTGTGATATTCCAGAATACTGTCCAATATTTAAAAGGACAGAATACTGTCCAATATTTCTCAATATTCAGCCAATTCAACATGAAAAAATTATGCTGTATGTCACCTAGTTTAATTTAGTTTGACAGATTATCTTGGAGAACATTTCCTAAAGAATTAGATCTTTTTTGGATGCTTTACAAACTTATAAAACATTATAGCCATATCTTCTCTAAGCTTAAATCTTTTCAAAGTATCTTAGTGTTTTATGTTGTTTGTTTTGAGTTTTTTTATTTATTTACATTATTTTCTGACTCCTACTAAGGCTAAGCATCTCATGTTTATTAATTTGTAATTTGTGAGTTTCCAGATCCCTTTTGACTTCTTACTCCTTCCAAAGCTTCCTATTAGACAAAGAGATTTATTGTTATTGTTTTAAGGAAAACAAGAGTAGAAAATTGTTAGTTGTTATGGACTGAAGGCTTTTGTCCCCTCAGAAATGAAGCTCTGAACCTCCCTGTGCTATAGCGTTTCAAAATGGGGTCTCAGGGAGGTACTGTTAGAGGAAGTCATCAGGATTTACTTAATCACTGGATGGAATACATCTCTGTTTTCTCTGCACTGATGTCTCCTTGATCCTGGATGAAACTACCTCAGTCAGCATCCTCCTGCATGATCGATATTTACTTTGACCATGAGAAACAAGCATCTTCTTAGTTGTCTTGGAAGCACTGCTGTTTTCTAATATGGCTGCTTATTTTTCCTTTATAGCTGAAAAGTCAGTTTCACTAACTTTCTCTCAAAATCTTTGGGGTCTGTGAGTCAGATCTGTTCCCCAAGCTCCCAAGGACACATACCAAGCTTTCTAAGCTTGTTAAATTTTCATGCAGCTAATTGGAAATGAGAGAAAGAAATCCTGCCCTTCCCTCCCCCAAGGGGATCAGAAAAAATATCATAGTATTTGAATAGTCCAAACGAAGGAGTGGTTTAATATTTCTACCATCTGTCTTTACTAAGTTTCTTTAAGCTATACTCTAAAAAGGAGTGGGTGGTCTGAGTGTCACACACCAAATTTTATCAAATACTTTGCCTGTCTCACCTAGATGGTCAAACATTTCACTTTGGAATGTAAGAGCAAGTTTGCTTTTGTTTTGTTCTCTACTTTGGGGAACTTTGGCAAACCTAAGAGAGAAGGAGGTCCATGTAACACCCAGTATAATGATTAGCTACTCGATAAGCAATTAACTAACCTTTGCAGTTTCTGTCTTCCTAGAGAAAAAAGCAAGGTTTAATTTCAAAAGTGATATCCTGTATACAAATAAGAATAGTAAGACTAATAATCCTAACAGCCTGTTCTATAACATATGTGGACATTAAGTGGGAAGGTAAAAGCATCCTGTGAAACTTTATGTCTTTTTAGCGATTGTTTGGTTATATTACTCTCTATATTATAGTGACTTCTCTACACGGAATACAGGAGAATTTTCTCTCAGTCCTCAGTTCCAGGAATACTTATACCACTTCTGAGTAGATTTTTTTTTAATGTTATGGTTACTGCAATTGAAGAATTTTTCACTTATGATGGCCATTATAGCCTCTGGGGCTTTTTTTTTTTTAATTGTATTATTTTTTAAAAAGGTAATGGTGTTTTACAATACCGTGCATGATTTAAAGGTATAGGTTCACATCTCTTCAGATATATGTTATGTTTGTTTACCTCTGGAACAGAACAGAGCTCGGGAGAGTGTCACAGTTGTGGGTCCTCACTTCTGTGCTCACAATTGCAAGACGTGGCTCAAGCGAAGGGGGCAACAACAACAGGGTCTATTGACAAAGGGGAAATTGGGGAAAAGGAAAATATATTTCTAAGGCCACAAATGGCTGGTTGTTTGTAGAGTAAATAGAATTAATCAGGATTTTTGCACCACTAGCATCTGTGGCTATCACCTGCGGTCTTGATTGTGTTAATAAAGAATACACTTGGGAGTGTGGGCAGGGCCACGCGTTCCTGACTGTGGAGACCGGAGTGTGGGTGTGCGCGCATGCGTAAGTGTGCACACCTGAGCCTACAGGGCAAGAAAAAAGGCTCATCTCTCAGAAATGAATGGCTATGGGAAGATGGCGGTGGCTACGGGAGGGCGCCGGAGAGAGCTCAGAGAAAGAGCATAAAGATTATTGGGGGGCTGGGCTGTTCAGTTGCCTGCCTGCCTTCCTGCCTCCCAGCCCCCACCGCCTGGCCCATGCCTGCCTCCATGCTTGCCAGCCTCCCTGCCTGGTGTGCCTGTGTGCCTGCTTCCCTGAGAGAGCATTAAAGCCTGAAAAATCCACTGAGGGCTCCTGGACTCTCTATCCACCTGCCGAAGCGACAGTGGACAGTGAACCTGCCCTGTGTGTGCTTGCACAACATTGTCCTACCCCAGGTAGTGTCTAGTGTCCATAAGGAGACCAAAAGCTACTTGTGCAAGATAATGTTGTTCCTCCCAGGAGAGCCTGAACTGGTGACACACCACTGAGTGGTGGCCTAGGATCCAGTTCACCTGGAGAGTGACAGGTGGCGTTGCTCAGGCAGAAGCGCAGCAGTGTGGCTGCAATCCGAAGCGGGGCTAGACAGTGCCAGATGCTGGACCATGCTACAGCGCCTAGAGGTGCTGGGCAAAAGGCAGTAGAATTCCCGATGATGCAGCTAGAGTGAAGGTTTTGAAGGTGTGCCAAGGAAGCCCAGTCTTTCTCTGAAGTCCTGTCTCCTCTTGAAGACGAGTCTCTGCTGAAGCCCCTTTGTAGGGTAAATGGATGTGGTGAGGTTTTTTGCGCCCTGCCACCATCAATAATTGACACCTGTGGTTTTACATTTGCGCCTGATGGTAGCACCTGGATTCTGGTGTGGGGGAGCGTGAGTGGGTGCTCCTGAGACGAGAGGATGAGCTATAAGGGCGGAAGCAGAGGGCCGTGCAGCAGGAAGCAGTAGAGACCAGCGCAGAGACCATGAGAGAAGGCTAGAAAGCCCAGGAGTGAAGATTTGCTGAGGGTAGGAGCTCTGCCAGCCTCCTGATCCCCAGCCTTCCCTGCTTGCCCTGCACCTGGTCACCTCGCTGCAAATGGTTTAAAAAGATCATTAAAAGCCTGACACAGCCACCGAGGGCTCCAGGAGGACCCCTTTTCCTGTCTGCCAGGATCCATAGAGAACCTGCTTGTGCCTTGCTGGCACTATACCCTCTGAAGCCGACTGAAGTCTCTCCCAAACTCAGTGAAGCCTCCACATTGATCCCCCTTCAGGGTAACCATGTTCCAAATCTGACTGATCGATATTCCAAACCAGCTGTTTCCAAGACTTGATTTGGTCCTTGTGCAAGCTTGAACCTATCGGTGTCCATGGGAGATCGAACCTTACCTGTTTTCAAAACCCTCTCAGGATTCAAAACTGAAACCACACCAGTGTGTGTCCACCCTACCCTGCACCATGGGTCCCGCTTCTGGGCAGGTAAGCTCTGCTGTATCTGAATGGTGCTGACCAGCCCTGTGTCTTCAAAGCTGTCGTGTTCTTTTATTCTCTCTCTCTCTCTCTCTCTCTCTCTCCCCCCACCCCCACCTCCCAGGTTGGGTTGTTGCCTTAGCTTAGTCTAGGTTGATGCCTCTCACCTGGAGGACCTGGCACCTTCAGAGAACCAGGAGCCACAAGGGCTGCTCTTATGCCTATAGAAATTGTGAAGAACTGCAGATGATTGATTTATCAACAGAAAATACCCAGGCTTAATTTATTTTTCCCTTTTATCTTTCTATTAATTTCATCACTTAATTTTCATTTATCTCTTGCCATTTAAAATTTACTTTTTGCAACAAAGTATGGATAATTTTATTGAAACAGATACCATTTTACTTATCAGGAAAGGACTTCATTCTCATACTTTGGGCACAGGATAAGACATTTTTTAATTATATGAAATGCTTGGTGTTCTTATATCTTTTTATAATGGTTGATCATTTTAAAAATAAGGTGAATCTGTAATTATTAGGATATTTTCATGTGTTTCTTTAGATGACCCACAGATACTAGGCTTATTTCTTTTTCATCATTTTCAACAGCTTCTGCTGGCATTTACAATAGAACTATAGCATTAAGGGCAACTAGCACTGAAATCAGAAAGTGAGTTCCACCTAAGGAGAGGCCCATGACACACTGAACCTAGATTGTGCAAGGCAGTGGGACAGAAATGATGTTCACTGCACATTAGCCACACCAGACCAGGAACCTCCACTGACACTAGTTTGAACACCACTAAGTTTGCAATGGATTAAATTTGAGACTGAAACCTAATGTCATTTATTGTTTGTTTGCTCATTTGCTTTTATTTGGGGATAATTATACTCTGTATGTATATGTGTGTATGGTGGTTTTATTTTTCTTATTGTTGGGCTTTCCAAAGTTAATATGGTGTAGCAGTTGGCTGTGTCTGGTGTCTGGTAATCTTTGAAAAGAGTTAGTTCAATTATTATATTTTTACTTGAAGCCTATGTCACAGAATTAAAATGAAAAGCTCAACCACTACTGTTTTTTTTCCACCAGGGTTTGAATGTATATTAGATTTGTTTCAGTGTTAGAAAATTAATATGGCATTATTTTTCTGATGATGTTTCCCATTGTTACTATAGAAATGGGCTCATAATGCCAGCTCATTCAAGGAATATAGCTTCAGGAATGAATTTTTTTTTGTCTTTATATTGATATGGTAGTTTTCTAATAGAGATACTGAAAGTTGTGTATTCAAATATCTTTAAAGGAATATTTAATTCAGAATTGAGTGCAAAGAAGCTGCAAAAGGTTATTCATCCATGTAGAGACAATTATATTGTGGTAGATAATGGATTTGTGTTATTCTTAATGTCTATACATGGCTACAGTGAGACTGAGGTTGTTTTTATAACTTTTCAGTACATTGAACGAAAGAAAAGTATGACAGTAGAAAGCATCTGATAAATTAAATGTGACATGTTTTTTATCTATATAAAATGGTTTCTGAGCAGCTGGTAATTGTGAATATTTCAGCAGTCATTTTTGATGTGGAATACTTCTTCTGTGTTCAACACTAATGAGTTGTGAGTCGTACTTCATCAAACTGACAGTTTCCCTACTTTTGTAAATAGGCATGTGATACACCTTGTAAACGCTGGTAAAAGATACTCAATTCACCTTTTAAATGCATTCAATTTTCTCTTTTTTTCCCCTAAGTTTTACCATCACCTTTTATCTAAGCAAAGATTCTCTAAAGAAATGCTTGCTTTTACTGAGTGCTTAATAAATTCCAGCATCATTTTGGGTACCATAATGTATTCCATCCATTGTGTAATTATTAGAGCGCAAATCAGCTCAAAGGAAAAAGAAAAATTCTGCATTGGCTAAAATAGTAAATGAGTGCACTAAGAAATTATAAAGGATTTTCATATGAAATACTTGTCTTTTTTTTAATTTTTTAATTATATATATTTTTACATAAATTTTCATTTGTGCACAATGTATGCATTTTCATCTTGGTTATAGTCCCCATTCAATTCCCATCCCCCCTCTTTTGATCCTACTCCCTCCTCCCCCCCACTCCCCATAGTGTGTCTTTGGTTTATAGTTTCTTGTTAATTTTGATTTTTACTTTATTACAATTAGCCTTTTTCCTGGTCCCTTATTTAGGTTTTCTAAATTCCTGCTATGAGTGAGACCATCTGGTATTTTTCTTTTTCTTTCTGGCTTATTTCACGGAGCATGATCCTTCCAGCTCTATCCATGTTGCTGCAAATTGCATGAGTTTATCATTCTTCCCTTAGTCATAAAACTTTAAAAGAATGTTTTACAGTAATCCTCATAATCATCCTGTGAATACAGAAAGTTGATGAACTCTTCCCATTTTATAAGTGAAGGATGTTGCATATAGTTGGACTTTAGTGTTGACTCTGTGCTTTAACATATGGTTCTGTTCTAGCATAAAGTAAGTGATAAAAAGAAATAAATCTAACTGTACTAGAAACATGGAAGCACATTGAATAAGAATTATCCAATGAGAACTAAAGTTGTCAAGATCAATTAATCATGAAGTATATTTTATCAAATCTAAAAGGCTGAAACTGGCAGCGATACTGGATTGAAAAACAACTTTGAACTGATTAAGTATCAGCAATACTAATTCATTCTCTCAGAGACGATTATATATTAAAAATTCTGTTAAAACAAGCACAATATTGTAAACTTTGAGGAGAGATGAAAGTTAGTGTTCACTGTACAGCTCAACCAGTACAGCTGCTTCTAGCCTTTCAAATCAACCAGCACTCCTTGAACTGTTTTATACTTTGGATTCCTTGTACTATTTCCCTGAAAAATGAGGTCCACTGTTAACTAGCACATTGTCTGATCACTCATCATCTGTATACGGGCTAACTTCTACTGATAATAAAGAATCTCACTACTAAACAGGATGCTGTCTTATGGTTCTCTAGACTCTCTTTTTCTTTTTTTAAAGATGTATTTATTTATGCATACAAGAACCGGGCTATAGGCCATAGGTGTGGGGGGTGAGAAGATTCACCAGAGACAGAGTGGGGAACAGAACAGGCAGATCGACTGAAATACACTGCTGAGGGGAGCAGCGGGTGAGTCAGGAGAGGTCTGCTGCGCCATGTGGGTATCTCTCTTGCCAGGGATTGAACTCGTGCTGCAGTGGATGTGGCTGCAGTTAGCTTCATAGGTAGCGTCTTAACCCCTTGTGCCACCAGGGAGGTCCTAGCATCTCTCTTTCAAGGAATTTCATTTTTATGCTTCTGGAAGCATGTCAGAATTGGCAACCTAAAATCCTTGCCAATACAAGAGCCTAGAAATTCTAAATAAAATATAATAAAGGCATAGACGAACTCACAAATAATAAAGGGATGTTCTCAGTAGCCAAATGCCAAAAGAGAACCCAAAACCCAAGGTAAGTCAGGCATGATGTAAAAGTGGGGTTAGCGCAAAGCTAGGGGTGGGTGTTGTAATTGGGGACAATCTAAATTCAGAAACTTATTATTTCCTTTTTACCCATGAAAACAAAATTATAACTTAGTCTGCATAAAGTAAAACCACTATTTTTTTTATAACCTAAATGGGCCAGAAAACAATTATTCCATCAGCATAGGGAATAATAAGGAAACTTGCAATCAGCTGAAATCTGCATTTAACTCTTCCTAGTTCTGTTAGCAGAAGACCAAATGCAAGTGTGGTATTTCTTCATGTCACTCCTTAACTTTATGCAATAGTTAATCATGTCTCTGTTAAGGCTTGCCTTTTCTAGACTAAACAATATCATTTTATTCAAATATTTCTATATAGCATGGCCTTTAACATTATGAAATCATTCTAACCTTCCCTCTTAACTTGGTTAAGATATAGGTTAGCATGTAAAAATTCTGTGTTCACTGCATGTGGGATAAGATATAAACCTGTGGTGCCCAGGATAATGCCCACTGGCCACAGATGGCTGCTGCATTCTTAAAAAAGGTCTAGTTCAAGTTTCTTAAAAAAGGGCTAGTTCAAGTGATATGTTATATGAATAAAATCCATACCCTATCAAAGACTTAGTTATGAAAATAAAGTAAAAGGCTGATTAATAACTTTGTTGATTACATGTTGAAGTGATAATGTTTTAGATGTTTTGGGTTACATGAAACAGCACTAAAATTAAAAAAAATCTAGGTTCAAATTCTAGCTCTTTAAGCCCAGTTTCCTTGGTTTAAAATGGAATAATTCTTGCATGAGACATAAATGAGGTTAGAAGATATGCAATCCCTTAGCACTTGGCACGTGATAATTAATATTTTCTTTTTGAGTGTTAATTGTCTATAATACAGTATCTGTATTATTGCATTTATTAATTTTAATCCTGTTATATCAATGTGAAGCAGTTGTAAAGAAAGCACTTTTCATTTACAAAGAAACACACCATTGTATAAATATATTTCACCTATCTCAAAGTCAGTATTTCAATTGCTGTTTAATAATAATAAGTATTCATCATTTGAAATTTGTTGAAAACAGTCTGTGGACTCAAACAATCTTAGATTGTTTTGTTTTATCTCCTCATCATTGCTTGTATAGGAACTTGGAAAATTGACTTAATGTCTTTTGCTTCAGTTCTCCCATGTGTGGGAAAGAGTTGTAATGGTGATTTAATACCTCAAAAAGTTGTAATGATAATTTAATTATACAAGTAAAGTGATGAACACAGAACAGGGCACAGAACAAAGATTAGATGTTGTTATTATCAATATCATTTTTATCATACAGCCAAGAAAAATGTCATTAATATGACTGAATTGACATAATAAGTTAAATAAACACACACACACACTCATACATACACACACATACACACATTGTTGATGTATTTACCGGAAAATTGCAACTGTTGCTCAGGAAATCATTACTCAGAAAATACAAATGACAGAGAAGTTTATTATAGAAAAAGG